ACTAGTAACAAGAAGCTACTAGGTTGGAGGCCATCGCTATTAGGTTCAAGGCCACAACTAACTACTAGTAACAAGAAGCTACTAGGTTGGAGGCCAATACTACTATTGACAAGAAACTACTAGGTTGGAGGCTATCGCGATTGGGTTGGAGGCCATTACTACTATTAACAAGAAGCTACTAGGTTGGAGGCCACCGCTATTAGGTTGGAGGGCCCTACTACTAGTAACAAGAAGCTACTAGGTTGGAGGCCATCGCTGTTAGGTTGGAGGCCATTACTACTAGTAACAAGAAGCTACTAGGTTGGAGGCCATCGCTACTAGGTTGGAGGCTCTTTGTTAAGTTTCCCTAAAAATCTAGGCACCAAATCATTAGATCGAGTGCTTCTTCAAGGAAGCGTGAGCTATCCTGAGTCCTGTTGGTTGCAGCTAGTAGCTACCTCTAGCTACTACTAGCTACCTGACCACCACTCGCGGCCTACCCCCCAAGGTATATATGTGTTTCTTGTTTTCAAATCACTTCGCCACTCATCTGTCCTGCTGGAACTGGCCGTCTGATACCGTCATGGCAACCTGCCAAGCCACACAGCCACTGGATACGGGGCAAGCGCTTGGGACCATGTGGCCTCCCATCTTTCATGGCACTTCTCATGGACCTTGCCAAGAATTGGCTTGTGTTGGTGAGATTGCACAAATATAGATACAAATGTGAATAACACGTTCAGTTCAGCTTGTCGATTTCTCTTCATGCCTAGGGTCACTGCTATTTGCACATCTTCCGTTCCAGTATACATTTGAATGTAGTCCTTGAAGGTGCTGATATCCAGCCTGCATTCAGTCAGTGTGGCAAAAAAAGTGCCCACACAATATGTGATGGTTCTATGATGTCTACGGTAGCAAATCAATCCAAACAATATTGAATATTAAATCTGACCTCTGGCCGTTGAGGAAGATTTTGCACTTCGCTGGAGTGGTCCCTGCAAGATCTACCTTGGTCATTCAACAACCATCTGGTTGTGCACTCTACGAGCTACTTTGAGACAAATGCCACCCGTCTTGACATGAGCCCCACGATGTCCTGGTATACTTGACGGAACAGCTTTTCATGTAATTCACAATAGGTTTGAGGCCTGGTCAACTTTGTTCATGTTTCAAAGCACGTTGCGACAGTCCTTGTCCAGCTTCTTCATTCCAAAGCGAGTTAAGTCCGGCCAGAATGTGATCCTGATACATGGAAGATCAGCAGAATTGGTTCAAGCACCAAGAATATACCTGCACAATTAACTTCGGCTTTCTCCATTTGCTGTGGCACGCACTTTGTGAAGCTTTCTCCAGAGTGGGAGGTGATCTTGGGTTTCTGCTTGGTCTGCATATTGCCCTGCAAATGGTGAAAAGTGTGCCACAGCAAATCAGGAAATTCAGCGTATCTGCTGCACTTATTACTTCATTGATGTGCCTCCCAAATCTGGTAGTATTTCTTCTTTCTTTCAGAATCGCCACATTCAACTTCAAACCTCAACGGAGGTGCACAGGGCACAGCAGCGTCATGCAGCGTCTTTTGGCCAAGCTTGACCAGGCGCTGGACCTTTTGGAGAAAATGTTGGTGAGCTTTGCTCCATAGCCGTTTCGACCACCGGTGACCTCTCAAGGTCCAAATCTGTGCTTCTCACAAGGGATCGTGAATAGTTTGGGCCTTTTTCTCTGTATCGTCGTAGTTGTCACTTGTCAACAAATGGCCAAATACCTTTCCATGACAAAAGACTTGAATATACTCGCATAGTCAAAGGGTGAGACAAGAGTAGAGGCCAGAAAGGCAAAGTTGTCAAAGGCAAACAGCTTGAGGACGAGGCAAGCTCCGGAACATACATGCGATGTTCTTTGTGTTCCTGACAGGGGTAGATCAACGACAATTGAACACGGACAGCTAGAACAGACATTGATTGATGTGCACTTTCGAGAATGAACATGAAAAAACATGTCCAGCAGAAGCAGAATTGACAGTTGGCTTCATTGAGAACAGAAGGAGCCGTCCGTGAAGCGATTCTTTTTAATACCAGCCTCTACTGGCAAACCTTTGCCATTGTTCTCGACCGTCACACTGCCTTCCTTCTCATTGATCGTTACCTGAAACGACATGAGCTCTACCCAGCTAACGTTGTCCGTGGATACACCATCTTGACCTGAATTATTGAAGGAGACTACGGTACTACGTAGGACTGTCTGGCTATACTTTGTAGAATGCATCTTTTTGTGGGTCATGATAGAAGCTGTTGTTGCACCAAACAAAATATTTTAGTCAGACTGCCTACGAACGTTGTGAGTTTGACAAAGTCTATTCCAAATCAATCATAGACTGCCGCAATAGTCAATAGTCGCTCATATGTTGCCCTCGTGCCAGTACACAGCATCATCCAATATATATAATATATCTCTGATTCTACGATTCATTTTCGTGCTTGTCCAGGACCGGTTCATTCTACGCCTTCACATAGGTCTGAGAATTGTCGCGAACATAGTTGTCGGCGGCATTGACCAGGATTTCATCGAAGATCTTGTAGAGCCCTGGCCTTCAGAAGATTCCAAGAACCCTAGAGTCTCGATGCTTGATACGGAATGTGAAGGGTTGGGAAGGTACTGGATGTGCGACAAATATTGCAATCGCTCGGCAGACGACACACGGCAAATTCTAGGAAAGTCCGGGAAGTCTGAATGGGTTTATATATCCTGCGTTACTAGATATTTCCTTGAAGATTGTATGAATCAGGCTATATATCTTTGTAAAGGGTTTCCCACAATTCAATTCCTCCAGAAAAGACCTGATGTCCTGTACATAACCGTCACCAGTGTCACGTGCTGTACTCTACCAGTGACGCAAACGTTCAGGTGCCAAAGCCGATCAACTCATGTTGAATGATGTTGAATGTCTCTCACACCCGCACCAAATGCAAAATATAAAATAGAAACAATAGAAACTACTACGGTACCGATGGCCTCCAACCTACTAGCGATGGCCTCCAAGGCTAAAGGAAAACAAACAATACAAATCACTGGAAACAAAAAAATAGTAAGCGCCCCGCACATAGTTGATACTTTTCTGCTCTATGGAACGATCCTTGTCGCTGTAGACCTTCAAAGTGCCAGTGCCCCTCTAAGTTGTGTTTAGACTCTGGGAGAAAGTCGTGCTTAAGTTGGAGAAAAGTCAAGAAAAGCCACATTGCCACGGTAGCGCGCTTTTCCTTTTCTCATTTGCTAGGCAAAATGATGTATCCTGATCGCTATGAAATACCATCCATGCGCTACGAGTTGGTCATTCGCCGTATGTGGCATGTGGTGGTCTTAACTTGGTGACCTGTTCCAAATGTCTATTCGGCCACATTGTTGCGATTATCTCTGCCGAAGGTGAAAGCATCACTTGTTCACTTCACTTCCTGGAGCTGTCTTTGCTCTATGCATAGATGTAATTTATATGTATATAACAGCGTCGAATCTTCAACGGATTCAACGGACCAACTGGCTCGTGGTGTGAGACATGGATTTGTTGTGAAGGAGAGGCTTAGCCATCTGCCCACTGAAAAGAAAATGTTGTCTGTTCCGCGCAGGGTACTCAAAGTCGGTTCGACAATAGGCCTCAAACGCGGCCAAAATCATGCAAAAGCATCTCCAGCACTCGAAGAGTCAAAGAGTTTTGGATCCTGCCTCCGCATTATCTCAATGGCACCTGCCCTATAAGCTGTGGCTCTGGATCTGGCGGAAGGACCTCCCTTCCACGCCTGCGACTTAATTAGGGCAACATTTTCGAAACACAATGATGCTATTGAAGGGGACATCTGCTTGCAACATCCTACAAGCGACTCGGGTGATGCATCAAGAACGACAAACTGGTGCTTGCAGGTGCAATAGCTAGTAGACTGACCTGTTGCAAATAGAACACATAATTCGAGCAGCGGCACTGTATAACATAAAGGATCCTGAACGTCAGAGTCAAGGTCACACTCGTTCCTGGCTTGATCTAAGCCACTTGCACTGACTCCATGTGTTTTTCTTGGGAAATCCGCTTCAACCTTCATTGCCGTGGACACCATGTTCATCCATTTTCCAGTCTCCAGCATCCTTGCAAGTTTGCACATACTACAGTAGCTGTTTTTCTTTTCAAAACTAGTGCAGTGTGCCAAACTTCAAGGTTATAGATATGTGGCTTAGAGTTTCTTTTGCTCTGGTGCAGACCAGGAATATCGAATTAACCAAACACAAAGCAGGGAACTCCAGACTGCCAGACTGCTCAGGCAAGTGTCTTCTGCGATTGGAGACACGGTTGTTTCGCAACAAGTCTTTGGAAGTAGACCTTACTTTCGCTTCGCCATCTCTTCTTTATTGTTTTCCTAATCTCGTTGAGTAATTGTGCACGGGGACCGCATCCATTGCTTTTATATTTTGTCCACACACACACATCCACACATTTGTTCACATGTGACTGCCAAATCTGCTGCATAGTGCAAAATGTTTTATGATGAATAAAGCACGTCCCATGACTACTATTCACACAGACACAAGAATCCCCAATCCAATCTCACCAATATGTTTACATAACATTATATAATATTGTATAACTACAGTTATATGTATATATAGATATTTTAAGAACGAAACATTACCAGTTCACAGTCTTCCACAAACACTCCCTGATTTCACCCGTCTGCCTCAAGGACGCGATCTCCGAGCGGAGCGATTTGATTTCACGGATCAAATCGGTCATTTCCTCCCTCCTGATCATCACGCGATCTTCCGTACCTTCAAGACATAGTCGTACCAAAATGCACAAGACATTGCACATAGCGTTGTTGGATTGATTTTTATTGCCCCGTGTCTCACGTGAGACCCTCATTGACCCTCTGTGATTTCAAAAGAACTATCTATATCGTGGCCAAATTTCTGTTCGGTATTTGAAAGACGAGATCCTTCTGTTCGATTCACTGTGCAACAAGTGAGCCAGCGTTTCTAGATGTTCCTATTTATGTTTACATAAATATCAAGATCTGGGCACAGCAAGGGACTGTGGCGACCCAGCCTGGATGATCCGCATTCTGCAGCACATCATGGCTCTCAAGCCTGACTGCATGCACCGCTGTTCATCTTGGGTGATACATGCAACGACTCATAAAGTTTTCTCTAGGTGAATCTCTGCATATCTCTGCTTGGCAGTTGCATTTTTACTTGAAATTTTCCAAGCAAAGAGCCAGCCTTTCCACATCTAATGCTGCGGAAACTCTTCTGAACAACTGTCCTGGCATTTTGCTTCAGGAGGCGAGGTCTCTGACAGTGTCTGAAGTGGCACACTGTGAAAACAGCGTCTGATGACTGATGAGACACGCCAGTCGCACCAGGGACTTGTGTGATGGCTGTCAGTGATTCAGGACTCTCTTCATCCAGGGCATCTTTGGCCGCAGTAAGATTGGGAGGGTGTAGAGGAGGATGTATTCGACGCCAGAAGCTTTGGATATGAGAGGCGGCCAAATGCTTGTAGCTTCGGCCCACCGTCAGCCTTTCGAGAATCTGACATCTTAGGATGTCACTGTCAGTCTGAAGCTGCACACAATTATTTATAGCGAAATGGCATGCAGAAATTCATCGGAGCGTGCGCCTTTTTCTGAGTTGGACACGAAGTTTTTCCCGGCTTTCTGCTAAAGAAGTCCACAAAGATGAGAACTCTGGAAAGTCGACCATTGACCTGCGACGTGCATTAAAGAAAGTATGTATATTACGACATGATATTATATCATTATATATATAAATATAACTGTTCTTGCTTCTAGGGGTTGGAACTTTCACACATATATCCGCCGACCCCAGATGATGGGGGAGCGCGTCAGAGAACTCTGCTACATCCGGCTGCGTGCAGTGGCAGCAGAGACGAGGAGAAGAACACTGGAAGCAGGTGTCTACCAGCCACTACAAGCATATGATGACTGACTAGATAGTTGCAGTACTACACAATGTGACTACGCCGACGCGTCACAGTTCACTGTAGCACACCTGTTATTAAGAGGCTACACAGGTTGCTGCAATCTGTAGCATGCTGCATTGCATGGTTCTTAGCCTCTCGATCTCCGTCTTGGGAACCACAATGCAACTGCCCCGTGCCTGCACGACATGGGAATTATATAGTGCAATTACTGTGGACAGATTGCCATTTGACTCCCTTCCTCTTCTGTACTCACCTCCCCCCCAATTCTGAAAGAAACTCTTTTTGATTTTGTGATGCCCATCCTCGCAGCGAGCAGTTGCTTCGCGTGGCTGATTGAACAGAACCCCATACTCTCCAAAGTAGCTGGCCTTCAATGTCAAACTTCATCAGCTCGGGTATTTTCACAAGAAGCACTGCAAATCAGTTCTGCTGATGCACAATCCACAAACAGTCACAAACAACACAAACACCAATGTGCGCGCACCCGGCTGAATAGCTGGTATGGATAGGTGTGTTGAGAACCTTCGCCTTGGGTGAGTGGCTGGCATACTTGAGACCAAGAACATCTGAACATCCAAACGTCCCAACATCCAGACCATCAGGGTTTCAGCATTTACTAGGTGGGACGGACTTTTGAGCAAAGCTTGCAATTTGCACTCCAAATAAGAGCAGGATAATGCTGAACATGCTGAACACCAAAAAGACACAAAATACACATGAACATACAATGATCACTTGAATCGCCTCTCTTCAATAGCGTAAAAAGCTGAGTGCTTTGCTGACACTGACTTTCACAGCCGCCAGCCACCTACCCATGCCCTGACTGATGGCATTGACGTCCTCGCCGCCCGACTCCTTTGCGACCTCATAAGACTCGTGGTGCTTCCAAACACAAAGCAAGAAAAGATTCCAAAGAAAATGAGCTATTCAATACAACGCATGTTCATAGAATAATGAATTCTTAAGCTGTATAAGCATGTTCATGTTGATTCTCAAGAGAAAATGATCCAACATGCTCTGATAAAGCGAGTGATGTCATGTGACGTCCAAGACCCGAGGTAAGTCGTAGAGCCCGTAAGGAGTGATAAGACTACTGTGCATTTGATGCTTTTCTGAGTGCGGAACACCAACGTGGGCGAATACGCCGTTGGCAACCTGAAGCTTCAATGGTCCAAAGTGTGCTTTTCCGTGATTAGACTTATAATACAGTAGCAAAAGGAACCTAAGAGCAATGGCCTCCAACCTACTAGCGATGGCCTACTAGTTTCGCTTTCAAGATCTGCTTCGTTCGCTTCACCAAGCTGAGGCGATGAGCCAGGAAAATATGATTTGAGAAATCTTGGCATTGATAGATGTGCTCCTGCTTCTGGAAGTACTGCCTTCACATCGACTGTATCGCTTTGCGGCCACGGAAACACAAGCATGTTTTGATTGTGATGTCTTTTCTGTATAAGTAGATTCTGCACTTGCACAAGGCCTGTGGGAGTTCAGAGCCAAAAGCATCGGCAATCGAGGAGGTAGTTCGTCCATCCTGCGGACGTATTCTCCGAGTTTGCAGCGGTCAAATCCCAGAAAAGGCACAATATATGTCTTACCGTTCATCCTTGCAGCACAAACAACATCACTTGTCAACAACACAACCTCGCCGCCGCACATTGATGCGGTCTACTTAGTTACTTGCTCTTGCCATTGAAGGTCACGCAAAAATAGAGTGCCAAGAATGATACGCAATATGGCCCGGTCCGCTTGGTCGGAAGAGCAGAGAAGAAACGATTGGTAGTGAACTGACCCTTGAAGAGCAAAGGAGGTATCATGCTCTCCAAATTGCGGTACATGTGCCTGCAAGTCGCTTGACACAACGCTTACTGGAATGTAACATGAGAATTCTGAGCATCTCTCTCTGAGCTGTAATCTGCTGTAGTCATAGTCAATGTGTATCATTGTTGTCTCTCAATTGTTTTGCAAGGCTCTGTGTAGAAGCTTCAGACCAAGATTCACCTTTCTACCAGATCTCGTCTACTCTACCTGGACTCTACCTAGCTGGTGCAAACAGTTTGATCTCGAATGCTTGGGCTTCGGATGTGCCTTCCAGTTAGAAGTGCTCGCACACCTTCCTTGTCGTACCTTTGTGTCATCCACTTCGTGGCCTAGCACCGACAGCTTCACAAGGCAAACTACAGCCTTTTCTTGCAACTCCGAGCTAGCGTGCACCCCTCTTTAGCCCTCTGAATCCTTGAATACCCATAAGGCAGCACTCATTGCAAGAATCAATTGCTGTACTGCATGCCAGCCTCGACAGAAACCCAATTCTGCAACTCCGACACACACTCTTCACCCAGCTCGGTGTGGGAAGCGAACTTCTCCATGAGCCCTCTTTGTTCGGTGACAAATTGCCCACGTTCATCCACGCGTGTTACGGCACTGATCACCTGCAAATCGCACAGACGGAGCACTTGCAAGCAAGTGCAAAGCCCTGGGTGCAAGCACTGGGTGCAAGCAGTGGATGCAGTATGGTGCAGTAGTAAACGAGCCAACAATCGCACATGCTTTGAAAGGAGCTTGGATGTGCTTAGCATACTGTGAAGGTCTCACTTAGACGCGGCAGTGTGTGCCAGATTGCTAGTGTGGTTTCTTGTCATATGTGTTGCTTCACTTGTACTGTTGTGCGCAACAACTTGCTTTGTCCGTGTGTGTGCCCCTTGTAGTCACAGGGATCCGTTTGGATTGTACTTTTGACTCCGTGTTCTTTTTCATGTTTAAGCAGGGGGATGCCCCACACCTGAAGAGAGGGCATCTAACAAAGAGGCTCTTCAGGTTGTGCTGATATCAGCAAGGATGCTTGCTGACGTACCTGCATCAACTTTTATGTAACCTTTGATAAAGTGCTAATGCAGCTGCAGTCACGCACGGCGCCGTCACCCTGTCGGATCGACCTCGCCTTGAGTTTTTGGCCTCACTTTCTTTTGAAGACCCCCAGGCTCTGTAGGACTTTCCTGGACCTTTCAGGATTTGGGTTTCTTAGGCCGGCGTGTGGCACCGCTGTCAGTTCCGTATGCATATCTATAAGTGTGTGTGTGCGAATTTCTTGCTGGCGAGACCTTGTGTGTCCATGTGTCTTCTTGCGTGTGTATATACTTGGGCACATGCATTTTGCTGCAGTGCTAGGTGAATTAAGGTGGATGTTCAGGTAAAGACCGAGCCTCAGCTGATTCCTTTGATCGTTCTTGTCATTGAACGTGGAAAAAGCTGGGATGCTGCAAGTGATCCGTGATGATTCCTTCCATCCACTTTTCTCTGTTGGTTGGTCTTCGTTGAATGCTGGTGGTGATTGGTGCTAGTTTCATCTGCATATTTTCTGTGGTATCTGTGCCGCAAGGGGTTTGAGGGGTCTGACATGCTCATCTCTTGAGATCTGTGTTGATTCTGCCGATCCTGGAACTTCCGATGTCAGCTTGTCAGTGAAGTTTGTGACCGTGGTGGTTTGTTGCGGTTTGTGGTGGTGTTTGCCATCTATGGTGATGTGTTTTGTGCTCCGTAGTGATTTCTTGTGATGTGGCCATTGTTCAAGAAACTGCAGGACTACCGTAAGGCCAATGCCTGATTTCACTTTAAGCCCGGAGGGTGGTTGATCGAGTTGAGATAACATGTGAGAAACAGGGAACTGGAACACAGACTCAAAACAACTGGGTAATTAATGCAGCTGCTCGTGAAACAAGAAGACCTGATCCAGCAATGTGAGGTGATGGCATTTGGTGGCATGTGATGACAGCTGAAATCAAACTACTTGTAGTCCAAATGTTATAACAAAAAGTTGCGAGTCTGAGAGATGCGGTGGAGGAAACAAATCCATGGAAATAGTAAGATGTAAGATGTGGAGTTCAACCAAACGCATATAGAATGACTTGGTGTCCAACTTGTGTTGAATGTGAGTTGGACATCAAATCAAACAAAAATATGAGTGCGGTGATGAGTTGATGCGTTGATAGATTTGAGAATGTAGATTGAGATTAGGCCAAAAATGAAAAAGGATGCAAAAGGAGCTGAGTTGAGGTACAGTATGAAGACAAGGATAGAGCAGGCAGCTTGTGCAGCAGCGAGGAGTGGTCTCATGCTGACCGCAGTGTACAATTGGATTCGAAACACTTGGTTGCCAACAACATCGACATCAAATAGTCCCACCCACCATTGTCGCCTCTCCGATAATGATACTGTGAACCACTGCACCAATCAGGAATGTCAGGATAACGTAGAAAATCTCACCTATGTCTCAGATCAAATCAGGATGTGATGTAGACAAAATCAGGCAAGCAAAGCTCCTCCGCTGCCCTTCAAGTGCTCTTAATTGTAACTTATATGACTCACATAGCAGAAGAAGCAATGGTTGGCTACAGGTCTGTCTATGCTGACGCACTTGCATCAAAAACAACATGCAAAAGGTCAAAGAGTTTACACAGGAGGACAAAGGAGGATGAACAGAGTGATTAACAGTGATTGCGTTGTTGGCCTGGTGTCATTGCAGCAATGTCACCAAAGCCTGGCCATAGCACGAGCAAGTTTGTTCCAGCAAAGGAACACAACCCATAACGAATGGCCTACTGTCGTGAAGACCGTCAAAATAAAATACCTGAGCTGCCCAATACCAACCACCGCTATGCAATGACAATAATGCGTTCATGTACTGTAGAAAATTCGAGAATAATAAAGACTGACTATGACAAGCCAAACATTAGCAAAGCAAACTAGTAAACTAGCAAAATGTTGGCAAACAAGTTACAAAGACTATTCACAAAAAAATTACTTTACTTCGAGTGATCCCCACCATGACATTTCACAACAGCTTGTTGACTCCACTTTTGTCTGAAGCTTTTGTCACGCGACTTTTGCGTAACTAACTATCCCGATCATTTGTTTCACCTGGCAGGTCATTTTGCATGTCAGTCTGTCAAACAGTATATAAACATGTCAGTCTGTCAAACAGTCTGTCCGCCCCAGTGACTCTGTCATCTGTTCCAACCGATTGCACCAAGCTTCGCAGCGCCCGCAAAATGAAAACTAACATTGCCCCGCTACTGTCCTAGACACACATCAGAGTTTGCACCTAGTATAGCACATACTTGTCTGACATCCTTTCTAACTTTCTTCTGACACTCTTTGTTCCATATATTCATGCATATTTGAAAGACTCACCATCACGGAGGGTTTCTGACATTCTAGCTGGCATAGCTTTTGACATTCTATCTGGCATGGCTTTTGACAGGGGCGTTGGGGTCCGGCAGGGAACACTGGGCGTGGATGATCGTGGTTGAGGTCCGGCAGAGAACACTGGGCGTGGATGGTCGTGGTTGACGTCCGGCAGGGAACACTGGGCGTGGATGGTCGTAGTTGAGGTCCGGCAGGGAACACTGGGCGTGGATGGTCGTGGTTGAGG